TGCAGAATAGGCTCTAATTTTAACCAGAAGATTCTGCTAAACTATTTTTTTATGTTTGGCAATGATGCAACTTCTATCAATGCAAATACCATTTGGTTCTCAGCGTAGAGTTGTTGCTACTTGCGCTTTTGTGCCTGTTTTGTTTGAGAATGGTGTGCGGGGTGCAAGTGTGCAACACTAGCCAAAACTGGACAAAGCACCCATCAGGATTCTGAGTTCCATATAGAAAAGATAAAGTATGAACATCGTTTCAGTGATATCTCTGTGTATGAAATATGTCTAAAAAGAATTTGTGCATATGCTTCTTAGATTGACTCAAGTTTTTACTGTATTCTTTTCTAATTTCTATTCTGAAACTTCAGCACCCCATTTGAGCTGCATGATGACTCATATGTCCTAAAAGAAATGCGGTTCTGTGGAAGAGAACAACATGGCGGTGCTCAAGAGTCAGACATCAAATGGAGGTGAGAGCTCAAGCATGTCAAATATTTATTGGCAACAAGTACAGCATCTGGAGCGGCCAAATAATGGCACAGTTAGGTTACCAAGCTCACCGCCTATTCCAGGGATATTGAAAGGGCGTGTGAAGCATGAACACTAGCGCTAGTGTGTTGGTTCACTGGCCTTTTCGTCTGAGCAGTTTGTTTTATTACATTTCTTCGTTGTGTAAAGGGCTTGTAAATTATTAGGCAAGGGGGGAGAGTAGCTTGATCTGATTTAGCTCTGCACCATATTGGTAGAACGACGGGTGCCCTGATTAAGTGTAACCATCCTTGAATCTGTTCCTTTAGTATGATTGAGAAAAGGGTTGACATGTAATTTTGTAGAGTTAAATTAGTTGATGTCTATCTGGGTGAAATTTCAGCAGGTTGCGTGCTTCGTTCTGGGCACAAGCATCTTTGTTTCCTGTTCCTTTTCCTTAATTCTCATATGATAATCAGAAGTTCAAATTTTATAAGGTGTGTACAGCTTGTGACAAGCCAAACTGCTAAGTTGAAATGCTCTCGTCTGGCACCTGGCTATAGACGGTTTCGAATGTTCCGTTGTACATAATGTCTTGTGAAATTCACGCGTTCGAAATAGGCCCTGGACGGTTGGATCCTCATTTAACGAACACAGGTTCTGGAATTCAATTTGCTGAGTCTTTAAATTTGGAATGTATTGGAGCATCTCCAATAGTACTAAAAAAATAAAAATTATTCCAAAAATCTGGTTTTGCAACCTTTTCAATAAACATGGAAAGAAAAAAAAAACTCCCAACAACAATTTTCGCACGAACCTCCTAGCAGCGGTTGGCGGCGACGGTCGAGGCAATATAGTGTCGGGAAGAAAAGAAAAATCAGTGCCCCATGGTAGAGAGTAGTGGTTGTCTACGTATGTTTGCGCATGGATGTTTCCTTTTGTTTACATGGATGGATTGGGAGCTGGGATAGAAAGCTGTTGGAGAAAGTTTGTTTTCATGGTGCCAAAAACTCAAGATTAATAATAACTTCACTGACGGTAATGCTAGGAATCATACGTCCATCCACGGCTCTGCGTCGGACGTGTGGACCCGACGTCCAGAAGGCTATCTATCCTATCCGCTCCCTTCCAGTCCTCGCAAATTAAAAAAAAACACGCATCATCGTGACTGCGCTCCGTGACCGCGCTCTGCCGTGCATCCCCCAGCCTTCCTCTCCACCTCCGCCGTGCCTCCGCACCACCGCAACGTGCTCCCCCGGACCGCACAGCCGCTGCCGCCTCGCCGCTCGAGGTCACACCCACCTGAGTGCTGTTGTCGGCTCCACTGCGGGCACCGCTCGCCAGGGGCAGTGCCGCCGCTCACTAGGGGCCGCGCAGTCCGCCCGCCCGTTATCATCATCCTCCACCATGATGACCGCTGACCAAATTAATTCATGCGGTGCTCCACCCACATTTGCTGCTGTGTTTTCTTTGAAAGCGCATATTGCAAGTGTATGTTGCAAGTGTTTATGTGTTTCAGAGGTATGTTGCAACTGTTTCGGATGGATGTTGCAAAACTAGATCGGGATGTTGCATATGTTGCAATGGTTGTACACCTATGTTGCAAAGGTCTATTAACAATGTTTCATCTGTGTTTCCGGACATTGTTGCAAGTGTGTTTATCTAGATGTTGCATATGTTTCACATATATGTTGTATGTGTTTTATCTGGATGTTGCGTATGTTTGCAAATGTTTTCATGTTGTTTTTTGTGTTTCAGAAGCATGTTGCAAAGTGTGTGTTTCAAATGTTTCAGTTGTTTTAGAAATATGTTGCAAGGATTTTATCTCAATGTTGCATATGTTGTAGTGGCTGCAAACATATGTTTTAAATATTTCATCTGTCTTAGACGTATGTTATAGCAAGCCCTCCATGCTGCAAGTGTTTCATGAGGCACAGGCGGTCCCCACGGGGCGGGAGAGTGCCGGGGGACGCAGCAGGGCGAGCCGACGCATGCGCACAGCAAGGCGCAGACGAGCAACTGCGGGACACGTGCAAGCAACAACAGCAGGACGAGCAGGGCGCGGTGAGCAATAGGGTGGGCATGCATGCTCCGATGCGTGTCCGTGAGTTGGGGCAACCAGAGGGGGCGCGTGGGAGACAAACATGGGACTCGTCGCAGAGGAAGGGGCGCTGGAGCATTGCGTTTTCTGCCGATCCGTTTTGACCGCTGGTGGGCCCAACTGGCAGCCCAGGGAGGTGCGCTCCGCTAGCTGTTCAGGCCGCATGTCCGCGAGTGTGCAGGAGTGAGTGGGCTGCACGGACGAGCACACGCTGGGCTGGGCTGAACGACAGGCGCGGCGCGGGCTTCCGGACGCTTTTAAGCCCTATTTACTAAACTTGTTGGAGATGCTCTGCCCTACCTTGCTAATGCAGCACTGAAGCAAACGGTGTTCTGTTCGTACAAAGGGGCAGAGGGGAATATGATCTTGCAAAAGGCTGCGAGCACTTGCGAATGGCAGCAAGTAGTAGCCCCTACGCTTCCAACCTTGACGATAGCAACTTAGCAAGTTAGCAACAAGGATATCAACCTTTTTTTTTCTTTTTCTTTTTGACAAACAAGGATATCAACCTTATTATTGGGCCTGTGGTCCAGTGGTAGAGCTGTCCAGTGGGATACTACCCATTAGGGTTCAAACCCTGGTGATCGCATATTTTTCTAGATTTTTTTTAGAAATTTGAGGGTACACATCCGTACGCGCGATCGGTGGTACTCACGCGGTCCGACGACGTGCCTCCCAATCTCTTCTTCGTGTGTTTCGTGTGGTGTGAATGTGAAATATGTGGGTCGAATGTGTCTAAGTTATACCCGATCAAAAAAAAATCAAACCTTATTGGTAATGGTAAGTACCGCGTAATCTCTAAATCAGGGCGGGTGGGTCGCCGCTCCCGGCACGGATGCGCGCGACGCCGCGACCTTTTGCGCTACTCCGCGGCCTGCTGCAGCCCGTGGAAGGGTGGACTGGGCTGCCGTGGCCCATATATATTCCTTATTTATTTACTTTTAATTTTAAAATGTAATATAACTTCTTTTTGTATAATGCGTTTTTATTAGTTCTGTTTGCACTACTGTTTTTCTTACCATGAGATCTATAAGTCTAAATCTATATGATACATATATTTAGAAATATCTTTATACAGTGACAATTAATGTTTTATATATAATGACTTACGTATTAAATATACGTAGCAACTTATGATGATTGTGTAACTACACATAAGACAACAAGAAGTCGTTACGTTACTTGGTAAACAGTCTGTATATAACTTGTAGCAATTAAGGTGATCGGTATTGTAGTATGCATACTAATTATGGTTTAACTGGTCGCTCAGGTTACTACTTTTCAGAATAGTCAAACATAGGCGTCGGCTTGCTGAATTTTGGCTGAAACTGACTGAAAACATTGTTCCGGCTGAATTGTTGTGAGAGAAAAACACTATTCTAACTGAAAAAAGAAGCTGAACAAGCCGGCTTCTGGGTAAGCTGAACGGGGCCATACCGATTAGGGTTGTATCATCCATTCTACCCGGGTCACAACACCCGTACCGATTAGGTTCGTAGCATCCATGTCGATTAGGGTCACAACACCCATGCTGATTAGGGTTGCAACATATATGTACTGACTAGGGCCGTGGTAGGCATATTGATTAGAGTTACGGGTTTGCCCTACTATATGCTAATGTTGCTACTTTTTAGAATGTTTGATTGAAAATAGATCTTGTATACTCGTGTATACTGATTAGGATTACAACATCAATACTAATTAGGAGTTGCAACAGGGCTTATGCATGACTATGTGTCCCCCTAGATTGCATCTTGTTGTCGTTAAAGGTCGCTATAGGAGTTGTGACTAAAGTTCGTCCTTCACCCCACCGCACCTTTTTGATTAGGGGTTGCAACATGGGTTTTAGCTATTGTCCGCCGTCCCCCCCTACCCACAATTTGTAGTTTATTGTGATTTAGAGTCGCTGCAATGGTGTGACTATGGTTTGTTCCTTCTCCTCGTAGTTTCCAGCTTTCTCTGATCAGGGGTCACTACATGAGTTATATATGAATATAGTTTGCCCTTCCCTAACACCTAGTTCATAGCTTGTTCTAATTTAGAGTCAATGCAATGGTTGTGACTATGGCTTGTCCCACGATGTGTCGCGCGTTAAGCCGCGGCCCCTAAGTAGCAAGTAATATATTCCATTTGCTATGAATAAAAACCCAGCGACATTCTTGTGCATCCTCCTGTTTCTACACCAGCTGGGACTCGAACATCGGTGTGCGGCCACGCCCTCGTCGTGGAGGAAGGGGCTCGCGACATGGCGCCCCGGGAGACGATGGAAACCCTGCCCCTTTCTATTATTACACCGCGAGAGAGACAGCCGCTCGTCGCGTTCCAGCCGTGTCCACCGCTCCTCCTCTCTCGGAGGCCCCCAGGTTGACCGGCGGTATAAGCGTGGCCCGGCCGAGTCCTAGCATCGCACCGACCCCCCTCCATCCCTTCGTGATCGATGGACGCCCGCCTCGTCTTCCTCCTCCTCCTCGCGGCCGCGGCGTCCGTGCCGCTGGCCTCCACGCAGCTCTCAGTAGATTTCTACAAGACGTCGTGCCCCGATGCCGAGAAGATCATCTTCGGCGTCGTCGAGAAGCGGTTCAAAGCGGACCCCGGCACCGCCGCCGGCCTCCTCCGTCTCGTCTTCCACGACTGCTTCGCAAACGTACGTGATAACGAATGAACTTACTAGCAGTCGCCGTTGGTGGCAATCAATGGCATGCATGCTTGCAGCGCGTGACTGGTTGCTGTGCGTGTCTCCTCCGTCCAGGGCTGCGACGCGTCCATCTTGATCGACCCCATGTCGAACCAGGCCTCCGAGAAGGAGGCGGGCCCCAACGTCTCCGTCAAGGGCTACGACGTGATCGAGGAGATCAAGACGGAGCTGGAGAAGAAGTGCCCGGGCGTGGTGTCGTGCGCGGACATCATCTCGGTGAGCGCCCGCGACTCGGTGAAGCTGACGGGCGGGCCCGCGTACGCGGTGCCCCTGGGGCGGCGCGACTCGCTCGTGTCCAACCGCGAGGACGCCGACAACCTGCCGGGCCCGGACATCGCGGTGCCCAAGCTCATCGACGAGTTCGACAAGCAGGGCTTCAACCTCGAGGAGATGACCGCGATGCTGGGCGGCGGCCACAGCATCGGCATCTGCAGATGCTTCTTCATCGAGGCCGACGCCGCGCCCATCGACCCGGAGTACAGGAAGACGATCAGCGACGCCTGCGATGGCAAGGACTCGGGCTCCGTCCCCATGGACTCCACCTCGCCCAATGTCTTCGACGGCAGCTACTTCGGCCTGGTGCTGGAGAAGAAAATGCCGCTCACCATCGACCGCCTGATGGGGATGGACAAGAAGACGGAGCCCATAGTGAAGGCCATGTCGGACAAGACCACCGACTTCGTCCCCATCTTCGCCAAGGCCATGGAGAAGCTCAGCGTCTTGAAGGTTCTCACGGGGAAGGACGGCGAGATCAGGAAGGTGTGCTCCGAGTTCAACAACCCGCAGAACAGCAGCGGCAGCACGTCGGTGATACGGACCAGCTCCGTCAACGCCGACCAGATGGCCGGGCTGTCGCAGCCAGGGTCGTCGCCCAGGAAGGTGGGTCCTCCCGACGAGGTGGAAACACCCTCTATGGTAGCGAATGAGGCGGCCGCCAAGGTTCCCGGCGGTGTGGTCGTCAGCGTCGGGGGAGATCAGCAGCAGGCGCCCAACACGGTGGTGCCACCAAACGTGCAGCAGCCGCCCAACACGGTGGTGCCGCCAAACCTGCCGCAGCCGGGCGCCGAACCGTTAGGCCAGGAGAAGGTGGCGGATAGGCCCGGCCTGAAGCTCCGCGGCAGCCGCGAGCCTGTGAACCCGGTCCCGGTGGTGCCTGGCGGCGAGGATGCTGCCAAGCAGCAGGCGGTGGCGGCCCTGGAGGCGAAGAAGAAGAGGAACATGGCCAAACTCCGCGGCGCCGCCAAGGCCCAGCAGTAGATGGATCATCGGAGTAGGCGTTCGGGGTGCCTGCCACTGCCAGTGCCGCCGCGCGCGCGCGGCAGCAGGGTGCATGCGGTGGTCAGGGGACAGGCACGCGCCGCGCTCCCGTCATCATCTTCTCACCCAGATTTTTTCTTTTTTGTTTCTCACTCTCTCTTTCGTTTGTGCTAGAAGGGACGAGCAGCGTACCGCAAGCTGATTACGCTAGGTCTAATTACGCAACTGTTGTGTCGAATGTTTAACAGCGACCATGCATCAAAACCCCCAGATCATTTTTCTTTTCTTTCTTTCGATTCGAGATTCATGCATGCTCTCGATCGAGGCAAAGTCGTTGTATGTTGTTTTGGCAGCTTAGGGTGCCAACAAGAAAAATTGTAATGTACCAATTTTCTGCTCTGAGCAGAGAGATATACAGCAAGTTTTTCTCATAGAACAAGTAGCTGGAACCCCCCCCCGCGATGTACGTTATTCATGTTGCAAATGTACTATCATACCTTGTGTTTTTGGCGCGAAACCATGCCCTCAACTGCTGATGGACGTGTTTGGATGTGTGCCAAGCCATAAGCCATAAGCCATAAGCCAAAGCATTCACTCAGCCAAATTTAGGCGGCCAAATCAGTGGCTGATGGTTCAGCCAAATTTGGGAGCTGAAATCAACTACACCGTGAGCAGAAAAGCTGAGGGCAGCTAAATTATGGCCTTCATCCAATCACACCATGTTGCGCTGGGTCAACGGCGGCTAACTTTTGGTCTGGCCAGCAACGGCCGCTATCCAAAGTTCCAAACGCGCCATGGGCGCGTGACAAATATGCAGACTTCGGAAATCATTAGTAATTTATTAACAATACAGTATATGTCTAGAAATGCCAAAGTTCTCATAATTTAGAAATGCCAAAGTTCTCATAATTTAGTGAAGCTATGGGAGAGAGTCATCGAGCAGCGCCTGCGAGGAACGACGCAGATATCAACAAACCAATTTGGTTTCATGCTCGAAAGATCAACCACAGAAGCAATCTTCTTAATAAGACAAGTTATGGAGCAGTTTAGAGAACAGAAGAAGGACCTCCACATGGTTTTCATTGACTTGGAGAAGGCTTATGACAAGATACCAAGAAATGTTATATGGTGGGCTTTGAACAAACGTAAAGTCCCATCAAAGTACTTGATCCTCATCAAGGACATGTACAACAATGTTGCGACTAGTGTTCGAACAAACGATGGTAACACATATTACTTTCCGATTAAAATTGGACTTCATCAAGGGTCAACGTTAAGCCTGTATCTCTTTACCTTAGTAATGGATGAGGTTACCAGGAACATATAAGGGGATATCCCTTGGTATATGTTGTTCGCTGATGATGTAGTGTTAGTGGATGAAAGCCAGGCGGGAGTAAATAAGAAATTAGAGTTATGGCAGCAGACCCTTGAGTCTAAAGATTTTAGATTGAGCAGAACTAAAGTCGAATACATGAAATGCGACTTTGGCGGGGCTGCACAGGAGGAGGGAGATGTGAGTTTGGAAGGTCAAGTAGTGCCTAAGAAGGATACCTTTCGGTATCTAGGATCGATGCTACATAGAGATGAAGATATTGATGCGAACGTTAGCCATAGAATCAAAGCAGGGTGGATCAAGTGGCGACAAGCTTCTAGCATTCTCTATGACAAGAGGGTACCACAAAAGCTAAAATGCAAGTTTTATAGAACGGCGATTAGACCGGCTATGTTGTATGGAGCAGAATATTGGCCTACAAAGATTCGACATGTTCAGCAACTAAGTGTTACAGAAATACGTATGTTGCGATGGATTTATAGTCACATAAAAATGGACCGAGTTCGGAACGATGATATACGTGATCGCCTAGGGGTAGCACTAATTGAAGAAAAGCTTGTCCAACATCGGTTGAGGTGGTTTGGCCATGTCCAAAAGAGACCTCCAGAGACACCAGTGCATTGTGGAGTCCTAAGCCAAGCTAATAATATGAGAAGAGGTAGAGGAAGACCGAAATTGATATGGGGGAGGCAATAAAAAGATATTTGAAAGCGTGAGATGTACTTAGAGATGTATGTTTGAATATGAGTGCTTGGAAAGCAGCTATTGAAGTGTCTGAACCGTGACTTGAGGCTTTTGGTGGGTTTTAACTCTAGTCTACCCTAACTTGCTTGGGACTGAAAGGCTATGTTGTTGCTGTTGTATAGTGTATATCTAAGTACAGTCCTACATAGAAAAGGCTGTCTATATGAGAAGGTGAGAACTATATATCCAGTAGTTTTGGAACTGAGAATTGGATTTATGCTATAGCAACATGAAGAGCTCGACAAGTAATAGTCGACATTGGACCTTGGAAACCAGGAAAAAAAAGGTTATCTAATAAACTATGTGCTTAGTTTTGCCCACGTGAAAAACGGGGTAATTCCCCAAACCAAAACACACAGACATAGAGATCTTCCTGCTAACCATAGGTTGGTGTCTCCTAATAACTATGTGCTTAGTTTTGCCTCATGAGCTTGTGTTTGGTGTACGAAAATTTTGCCTCATGAGCTTACGTCGTTATGATTTTTTTAGGTACATAGCATATATCTAGGTGTATAGCAAAAACTATGTATCTAGATATATGTAAAAAATATGCCTCATTGAGTAATCAAAATACAACATATAAAAAAAAGAGAAAAAAGGCCCTTAGGCCAAAGTTTTTCTCACTCAACTGGGCCAAATCTTGTTCTACCTATACAATGCAAAATGAAAAGCAAAACATAACAAAATAAAACAACAAGCTAGATAAAACAGGTCTTTGGACCTTTTGGACTGAAATAGAAGTCCAGAACAAACAAACATTTATAGAGAAGTGAGGATGGGATGGAATGATGGGTGACTGGCTAACAGCTTGTTCTACCTGGACAATGCAAAATGATAAGCAAAACATAACAAAATAAAACAACAAGCTAGATAAAACAGGTCTTTGGACATTTTGGGCTGAAATATAAGTCCACAACAAAACAAACATTTATAGAGAAGTGAGGATGGGATGGGATGATGGGTGAATGGCTAACAGCCACAGATAGTACGCTCATGGCTAACAGTCAGCCACAGACGGCCCCGTTCGGCTTACCCCATATTCGGCTTGTTCGGCTTCTTTTTTCAGCCGGAACAGTGTTTTTCTCTCACAACAATTCAGCCAGAACAGTGTTTTTCAGCCAGTTTCAGCCAAAATTCTGCCAGCCAAACGGCGCCAAACCACGCAATATTTATTGACACAACTGTGTCTATATGGACCAAGAACGTCGACTTATATAGATGTAAGATGTACACACAGCAGAGTCATCTTACATATTTATACTGTTTTCAATTAGTGTATGTAAATCAGGCCCAATATTTGATACAAGTTACACAACACCGCCATGTATGGCTACTGGGATTGGGGCCAACTGGAGCATATATATCTCACATATATGATGATATACACGCGCAATGTCTTATGTGTCAAACTGAATGTTTTGCTTGATAAGCTCCTCTCAGTAACATGTAAACCTTTACGCTCAATCAACAAATTCCAAATCTAGTACTCCCTCATTTTCAAATTGTAAGTCGTTCTAGCTTCTCTAGATACTTCGTTTTACTATGTATTTAGACATAGTGTATCTAGATGCATACAAAAAACCATGTACCTAAGAAGACAGAATAACTTACAATTTGGAATGGAGGGACTAGATAGGAGGCAAGCAGTCTTATGAAACAGAAGCTGGTTTGCTATAGCTTGGACAATCTGACTTTAGCGATGAGTTCTCTTCTCAAAATCTTTCCTGAAGCAGATTTTGGTACGCTGTCCACAAAGGTAACCCTCCTCAATTTTTTGTAGTATGCGACCTATAAGGGAGTTCATGAACAAAATCGGTAATGTATTAACACGGTTGTATCAGTTGATGAAAAATACAGAGTAATGTTAATTCACTCAGGAATTACGAACGTTCCATACTAGAGCGACAGGTACTATGAGAGTTAGACTTGCTGACAGAAACAATTAAGCCAAGGTTCCTACACAGGCTCACCTGCTTTTCAATAAATCTCTGGACATCAACTTCAGTCAAAGAACTCACAGGGGACCTTACGACGTAGGCAATAGGAACTTCCCCAGCTTCAGCATCGGGGAACCTTGGGAGCAAGTATATCTTCCCATAAGATACAGCAAAAAAAAAAGATTTTGAAAACGCATCACAAAAGTAGCTATCAACCCCAATGATTAGGTGCTAAACTTACGGGATAACAACAGCATCCAGAATTTCTGGATGAGACAGAAGTAGCCCTTCAAGCTCAGCGGGTGCAATCTGCCAGAAGAAAAATATGAGATTCCACTAAAGGAAAATACATGATATAAGATTGAAAAGAGAAAATAACATATGTGAATAAGGCCAATCCATTTTATGATAGTTAGATTGAATAGTAGAGAAAGAATACACTGATTGAGGCCATTAGGAAAACTCCCATGCTTCCAAATAGATATTCACAAGACACTGTAGTTTCTAGTTATATCTGACAAAATGATTTAAAAAATTTAACTGTATGAAGTGTTCTAGATGAAAACTAATCAATGTACTGAATAATAATTATGAATGCAAATGCTTAGTAGAACTGCAAACATTAGCTGCAGAAAGGACCCAAATGAGGCTGGACAAAATCTCCTTTCGGTAAGCGCTGTTCAAATTACTAATTTTCACCCCCACGTGATTATAAGTAAAAGTTTGCAGAAACTAAACATTTTTTTGTGAAAAAAATGAGAATCTTTACCTGAAAACCTTTGTACTTAATCAGTTCTTTAAGTCTATCAACTACAAAAAGCTGACCTCCTTCATCAAAGTATCCAATATCACCAGTATGCAACCACCCTTGCTTGATTGTAAATTCAGTAGCTTGCACATTGTTGAAATACCCTAAAAATAATATACTCCAATGAGTAGCGAAATGTTTTGGCCACAATATCTCTCTAGGACAGAACACAATGGAA